TTCTCCTTTTTCCAAAATACGTCGGGGACAACTGCCCATCTTCATTGCTATGACTGATGCCCTGATCCAGGTCGTATCATTTCATCTTTAACATTAATTGAAGAGTAATTCTTTGTTGTGGGGGGTGGTTGTTCTCTATACTGCAGGATGTTAGCAACATTCCTGCCCTTGCTACACACACTAGTGGCCAGTAGTGTGCCCTCCCTAACCACCTGTGACAACCAAAAAATACCTCCAGACGTTGTCAAATATTCCATGTGAGCAAAGTCATCCAGTGTTGAGAACCACTACATTAACATCCAAAGAAATCCATTAAATGTTCATTCTTCAAAATGTTTCAATCCTTTTTCCAGTTATTCCAGAACCCCTTATGACAGACTCAATCAAGAGCATGCAGTGTTTATTTTGCCTGTTTCATTTGCCCAACTCAAAGTGCCTTTCCTCTCATACTCTTCCAGTTTGTCATTTCATAGATACAGTCATTCACAGCACAAAGACTTCTATGGGTAATTTCATAGCTTCATATGATCACTGCATTTTGTTGACGCTGTTTTCTTCTCAGCATTCTTTATGGTCTTTCTCTTCCAGTGGCCTAAATGCTGAAGTTCTTCAGTGTTCTCTCTGCAGTTCTCATTTTTACTTGGTCCATATTCTCTAGGATGAGTTGTTTTACTCTTTTTGCTTCATCTTTTGCAGCAATGACCACCACCACCCTGGCTCCAAAGGTGTATCTCCAGGATGATCTATCTCTCAATCCATTAAATAGTTTTCCAACTAATAACAAAACAGCTACAGAAGAGCCTAGACAGCTCTCAAAGTCAATAGGTCCAAAAAACACTTATTTCTCCCCTGTCCAAACTCTTTCTCCTATCTTCTTAATAAATTTCTTTATTATGCACCCAAATACCCCAAATAAGAACCACAGAATGTCCCTTATCCATTCACATAACCTGTCTCCTTCCCTTCCCCATTGTCCTAACCTCCTCCAAGTCCATTCTGTTGAAGAATGGACTCCTTGCCTCCAGTCTGCCCTGTTTCTGGTCTAGATTCACCTTCCTTTTCTCTTTCAAACAAAACCCTCCTTCTAAGTCTTTGACAGCTCTCCGTTGCTTATCACTAGCCTCCACAATGTGTTCCGTGGCACCTTCACAACCGGGCCACATCTGCCTTCCCCTTTTGCACGTCTGTCATTCCAGCCATACCAGTCCATGCATCGTTCACTAATGTGTCCTTCAGTTGGGCTTCAGGCAGAAAACTGAAACCATTTCTAGGTATTTCAACAGAGAGAAATTATTAAAGCAAATGGCTTAAAAAGTATTTGAAATTTTAAAAGGAGAAGAGGATACTGAAGTAATTCCTGTCTTCAGTAATTCATGGGGAAATTTCACCATACATTTTTTAAAAATGGATAACGTTATAATTTATAAAAAGTAAGCAGGAAACATCTATCATTTTGGGGCTGAGGGAGTACAGGAAAGAGGATGAGAGTCATCAGAAAGTAAAAGTTTGGATAAAAGGGACCCCCACAGACCTGAAACCTGCACCTCTAAGGAGGAGTAATGGCTGGCTGCTGCAGGTGCCTCTGAAATGCTGAGTAGAGCCTCCTTGGAGCTGAGGCTTAAACCTCCAGGGAAGGGATGCTGACAAGGCTGGTGTAGGAATGCCTAAGGGTGGGATGAAGCTGGTTATGAATAAAGCTTAACGCTGGAACCACATGTTGCTGTCAGTGTGAAGGGCCATTGCTCAGCAATACTGTTAGGAGCACCGTCAGACAGGATCAAGGAAACAAGGGTTTCCATGCCTCCTACCTTCTCTGCTCCCTGCAGTGCCCCTTGTTGGTGGGATCCAGCAGACTACTTGCAGAGTTCTGGCCTCAACATCAGAAGGGTGGATTTAGAGTTGAGACAATTGCTTAATAACCAATACAATACACTTTCACATCTCCTTGCCTTTACTCGTGCAGTTTCCCTACTTATAATGGTCTTTCTACCTGTATCTGTCTGATAAATGCCTTGGTCAAATACATTCTCTTTTTTATAATCTCCCTTAATCTTCCCAAAAGTAATTATTTACACCATCATTTGAGTTTCCCTAGTAATTTGTAAATACTTTTTTTGTAGATTTTTTTATATTGTCTCAGAATGTGTGTTTGTTTATTTTTCATTTATTTTCCACCAAACCGTGTACTCCTTTAGGGCAGTTAGTTATAACCATGACATCTAGTTGGGTGCCTGGCATGAAACAGATATTGGATAAGCTGGATGAAATAGATAAGGTCATTTTAATGAAATTATTATTAGATCATTTCTTTTAGATATTGTATCATCCCGGCCAGATTTGAGCTCCATAAGAGCAGAAATCATGCTTTATATTTCTTTTATGTTCTTTGGGGGTTTAGTACAAGGTTGAACACAAGCAGAGTTCAGTGATATTTGTTAATCCCCTAGTTTGTTTATTAACTACCACAATTTTGGTTCAAAATGGCATGAAGATGGAGCATGAGTTAGCATATCAGGTAAGATCCATAATTAGGTTTAGATGTGCTTCTAGCACATGATTGCAACAGTTAGAAAGCACTGGATATATGGTAAAGTTCTGTATTTGTTGGAGGACTAGCACAATGAAGAGACCAAATGTGATATGTTTTATAGTGAATTCTAAATAATGAAATATATTATATGTTTCAGTTTTCTCTATTTATCTCCTACAGAAAATATATCCTACATAAAATATATCCTGCCAATCCATGAGATTACTATATCTGTTCCTAGTGTACTTATTACATTTTTCACAATTATCAAAATCAACTAGTAATTATTTAAATGTAGGAAAGATATCGAATTTTAACTTAATCACCAGCTTCTTGAAAAAAAGAAATCTCTGCTCAACAGCTGATTTATATTCACGTCCAAGAAGAAGAAAAATAGCTTTTTTTTTCCTAAAGGGGAGTCATATGTAATTAACTATTGATTTCTTCTCAATTATTCAGGCAAGCAATTATCGATATTGATGGAACAGATATTTCCCTACCTCTAGTACCCAAATGAAAGGAAATATCCCATTCAGCAATCTGCTGCCTGAAACAAGAAATGCTGAGGATCTTTAACTTTAGATGAAAACAGTTATTTGGATCTGTTTGTTCCATGTGGCCCCAATTAAACATACTTCTTCAAGTGTAAGCAAAATTAAAAATCCTGAAACCCTACATAAGCTTTTAAAGCCAGAAAGCAAGGGCTTTGTCAGTTTTGACCACGAGGCTAACTACTCTACACTTGTGGACTTTGCTTTACAACTACAGATCTTGACATTTTTAACCATGACTCATAAAATACTATAATTTGGTTCTAATATTATGATTTCTAAGCCACTCAATAAGAGGTAGCTTATATAATCATTGGAAATCATGGAACACTGCCTTGCATGTCAATATTTGAAGCCTTAAGGATTTAGTAGGCCTTAATAGTCACTTCTGACATTTACAGATAGCAAGCATGGATACATTTGAAAATTATGCCAATATACTGTGCAACTGTTTTAGAAGTCAGCAAGGAGATGTTGAGGAAAGCCATAAAACAGTGCCCTATTTAGGGCACTCTGTTATTAAACATGTGAGTATCCAGCACCATCTTTCACACACAAAGCACTGGCATATTTCTGTGTAAGAAACTTCTTTTGAAACTGACATGACTGTTGAACATAATTAGTGGACAAGGCAACATTCTCTATTGAGTTACTACTTTGAGGGTAGAGTTATTTTCTAATACTTTGCACTTAATAGCAATATAAGGTATGTCTATATGAGCGTGTAGTGTGTTGAACTCATGTGGCACCCCTGGGGAAATTTCACCATACATTTTTTTTTAAATGGAAAATGTTATAATTTATAGAAAGCTCCTTTTTCTGCTCTGTCCCCCACCTCCCATTCCAGAGGGGTTCTATATGTTAAGTGCTTAAGCAGCATATGTTTCTTGGGAAGTGTTCTTGGCTCTTTTACTCTTTGTTGTTGTTTTAATTTCCCTGGGTTCTATTTAACATTCCGCTAAATCAGTGAAACAGTGATTATCTAAATGAATAGGAGACATGGAATTAATGAGGTTAGTCAGAATTTTGAAGAAATAAGAAATTATTAGAGGTGAAAGTTACATGACAGGGGCTGTGAATGAATTCTAGTCTCTGAAATTGCTTGTCTTGATTTATTCAAGCTGATTGTATTAATTGACGGACATAATGAAATTTTGGTAATCAGGGTTTCACCATTGCATTTATTACTATTCCCGGAAATCATGGTAACCTTGGGCTCTACTTGCCGTATTTACAAGGTGATAAAAATCCTTAATAGGCTGTCAGGGACAAATGTGACTGCTTTTCCTCACACTCCTCCCATGAAACAAGCTTTCTCTCTTCCCATCTGGCTGCCGCCTGCCTGGAGCATGCTACTTTCCCCGTGTCCCCACCCCCCAACCCCCATCCCCATGGCTCCTAGTGGGCTCTGTCTTCATGCATGCAGCGCTGGAATCACTCACCGAGAGAATGGCCCACCCCTTAGAGGTTTTTGGTTATTTTAGCAATACCGCTTTGCATTTTAAATACCATTCATCTGGCTTCAAAGATCTGCACTCTTGCATCGGGCAGTTGTTTAAAAACCCAAGAGGTCACAACAGGTCCCAGTTCCATGAAGAAAAGATACTGGCAAACCAGAACTATTGCATGACTTTGTATTCGATAGCCTGAAATGGACAATGAGATAACATCCAAGATTGCAGCAAAAATCTATATGAAAAGGACTAATATGATTTAAAAAAAAAAAAAAAGGCAGAAAACTACATTTGTTTGGAAATTGGAGTCACAGGCTTCGTTTGTAGAGGGGAGGTGGGGGAGCACGAGATCGATAGAGAATTTTTTTTTTTTAGGCTGAAAACATGATGTACCAGATGAACTTAAATTGATTCTGCTTCTCCTCCCCGCGCCCACCCACCTCTACCCTCCCCCCCATTCTGCAGCGAATGTCTGCGACAACGAGCTCCTGCACTGCCAGAACGGAGGGACGTGCCACAACAACGTGCGCTGCCTGTGCCCGGCCGCATACACGGGCATCCTCTGCGAGAAGCTGCGGTGCGAGGAGGCTGGCAGCTGCGGCTCCGGCTCCGGCCAGGGCGCACCCCCGCACGGCTCCCGCGCGCTGCTGCTGCTGACCACGCTGCTGGGGACGGCCAGCCCCCTGGTGTTCTAGGTGGCGCCACCCGCCACACCGGACGGGCCTGTGCCGTGGGGAAGCAGACACAACCCAAACATCTGCTACTAACATAGGAAACGCACACATACAGACACCCCCAGTCAGACAGTGTACAAACTAAGAAGGCCTAACTGAACTAAGCCATATTTATCACCCGTGGACGGCACATCCGAGTCAAGACTGTTAATTTCTGACTCCAGAGGAGTTGGCAGCTGTTGATATTATCACTGCAAATCACATTGCCAGCTGCAGAGCATATTGTGGATTGGAAAGGCTGCGACAGCCCCACAAACAGGAAAGACAAAAACAAAAAACAAATCAACCGACCTAAAAACATTGGCTACTCTAGCGTGGTGCGCCCTAGTACGACTCCGCCCAGTGTGTGGACCGACCAAATAGCATTCTTTGCTGTCAGGTGCATTGCGGGCATAAGGAAATCAGTTACAAGGAAATCAGTTACAAGCTGCCATATTGGCCTGCTTCCGTCCCTGAATCCCTTCCAACCTGTGCTTTAGTGAACGTTGCTCTGTAACCCTTGTTGGTTGAAAGATTTCTTTGTCCGATGTTAGTGATGCACATGTGTAACAGCCCCCTCCAAAAGCGCAAGCCAGTCCTACCCCTGTATATCTTAGCAGCACTGAATCCAGTGCGAGCACACACCCACTATACAAGAGTGGCTATAGGAAAAAAGAAAGTGTATCTATCCTTTTGTATTGAAATGAAGTTATTTTTCTTGAAATACTGTAATATGTAGATTTTTTGTATTATTGCCAATTTGTGTTACCAGACAATCTGTTAATGTATCGAATTCGAATCAGCAGAGACTGATATTTTATTTTGTCATCTTTCGTTCTGTTTTGTTTCATTGTGCAGAGATTTCTCTGTAAGGGCAACGAACGTGCTGGCATCAAAGAATATCAGTTTACATATATAACAAGTGTAATAAGATTCCACCAAAGGACATTCTAAATGTTTTCTTGTTGCTTTAACACTGGAAGATTTAAAGAATAAAAATTCCTGCATAAACGATTTCAGGAATTTGTATTGCAATTTCTTAAGATGAAAGGAGCAGCCACCGAGCAGTTTCACACTCACTTTACTGATTTCTGTGTGGACTGAATACATTCAGCTGACGAATTTAGTATCCAGGAAGATGGATTGATGTTCACTAGCTTGGACAACTTCTGCAAAATATGAGACTATTTCCACTTGGGAAAAATTACAACAGCAAAAAAAAAAAAAAAAAAAAAAACTAAGTGATTGCCAAGATTATGCCAAAGCCTGTTGGCAGAGTACTAAGAGACTTTTATTTTTAAGTCATGCTATTTTCGCAGATTGATGGTGATCATGTAACTCTAGGGATGCTGATCTATGTATCTTTCCAAATACAGTGTTTACGTGGAGTATCATAAGAGGCAACCTGGGGAACCAGGAAAGGAGCAGGGAAATTGAGTGATTTTGCAATTTGGATTTGAATATATTTAGAGTTAAGTATTTAGAGGAAATACCAAAATATAAAGCAGCAAGTAGACATAACTGCTGTTCCTGAAAATAAAGTTTGTTTTAAGTACTGCCCAAGGTGTAATAAATTATTGTTTCTGCCTTTTATTAGGCCAATTACTGTGCAAGACAGCAAGGGGAGGCAGGTGGGGAAGAACCTTCGCGAAGTTTCAAAGAGGCTAAAACAGTGTGCATGTCATTCCCAGCACACTGTTGTCCTACAGATTACAAATGTGTTAGCAGCAGAACCTCCTGGAATGAAAAACAATTATCAGCCCAAACCAGAGTCATAAGGACAATGAAATTCTACATGACTTGCTAGAACAATAACCTATGATAGCCTAGTTCCAGTCTGAATTCTCCACCCTGCTGCCACTCCTTGCTGAAACAGGGAAGTGGGGAGCAATGTCTCCTGATAAATAACCTGGGTAAAAACTAGATGAAGGAACAGCATGTCTTATTGGTTTTGTTCCCAGAAAAGCCAATTCAAAGAAGGCAATAAAAGGTAAACAGGTAATGCCTGTGCTGCCTGCCACCCCACGTCTAAGTCTATTGAATATTTGTTATTCAAACCAACAGTCTCTTTTGATGTAAGAAATAAGAAAAGATGGAAATAAATTAGAGCTCAGGCTTAGTGCCAAAGTGGCCAACCAGAAATGGGAGATGTACATGGGAAGCATAAATAGAAAATTACATTTCAAGCTCACCAAAGAAACACATGAAAATGCTGAACATAGGGAGTTTGAGATTATTTATGAGGTGGATTTCTAATATTAAAATTGGAGTTAAGTTGTCTTATAGTTTATTAGCACAAACCAAAGGCAGCCCGTGTTATTTCTGGCGATGATGCACTTTATTGATATCTGCTCATGGCTTTGTCGCAATGCTCAGGAATCAGACACTGCGCACTTCAGTAGTTGGGATTCCAGAAGCTAATTCTAAAATTTAATGAAGGCCTGATTTAAGCTGATTTGTCTGCATTTTATCTTTATGAGGCTATAAGAATCTAAATCGATGAGGAATATCTTTCATTCGGTGTATTTAGATATAGTTTTCTGAATTTCCCGAAGCGATGTGATCTGCTTTTAATAAAAATTCTCTTTTAGGTATACAACAAATGGAAATGAAATGTTCTTTTAAAATCTGGATTCTCAAGTTCTCCTAAAGGAGCTACTCCTTTGAAGAAACCTCAACTCAATGGACTTGATTCATCTGTTGCTTTCCAGCATTCTTACAAAGCTGGATTCATCTACAATGTTATGCCCTAACAACAGGATTGGGGTGAAAAGCGCGCACTCGGTTGTTCATACATTTGAGGTCCTAAATCTTGTTCATTTTTTTCCTTTAATAGGTCCCTTAAAGTAGGTTAATATAGTCTTGCATATGAGTTAATCTGTCAAGTTTTCCACATAGAAACAATATAATTCCTTCCATCAATATGATTAAGGAGCATAACTTTTTTTTTTTTTTTTTTGAGACAGAGTGTCGCTCTTGTTACCCAGGCTGGAGTGCAATGGCGCAATCTCGGCTCACCGCAACCTCCGCCTCCTGGGTTCAAGCAATTCTCCTGCCTCAGCCTCCTGAGTAGCTGGGACTACAGGCACGCGCCACCATGCCCAGCTAATTTTTTGTATTTTTAGTAGAGACGGGGTTTCACCACGTTGACCAGGATGGTCTCGATCTCTCGACCTCGTGATCCACCCGCCTCGGCCTCCCAAAGTGCTGGGATTACAGGCTTGAGCCACCGCGCCCGGCCAGGAGCATAACATTTTAAAACATGGAATAAAGATTCAGCTATCTAGAAAGAATTGCTATTTATAGGAAGATAATGGACGTGCCTTGCTGTGATATGAGAGTTATTTATTTCTGACCCTGGACAAAGCCTAGAGGAAGAATTTAGTCCAGCAAAGAGGGGCCCTTGCTTAGAGAGACCCATTCTGACTCTCCTCCAGCTTTCTCCCCGATACCAGGAACTTAAAGAGTTTCCTACTCAGATATCACCCCCACACTTTTAGGCCAAATGTGGGCCTCGTCTGAGGGCTTAAAATTCTGAAGGCAGGCAGCATCCTGAGTGCATATACCTGGCCACTAGGAGTGGCAAAGGGTAAGTCTGTGTGGGTGGATTAGGGCCTGGGGCTTGGAGTGTTCACTGTGGAATTTACACACAAGCAAGGAGAAGCCCCTTGCGGTGAAAACAAGAGCTCAGGGCTGGAAAATAAGGGGATGAGGGGTGGGAAGGAGATCGGCAAAGGCTACCAGGAGGCTGGGGGCTGGTACGGAATGCTGAACAGTCTAAGAATTCTAAATCTATACCTGAGCTTCCAAGGGTTATGAGAGCATCATGTGTCAAAGCTGCAGGGTGGAAGATAATTTAACAGTTTATTAGCTTTCTGTATGACTTTTAAATACTCAGACATGTGGCACAGGATCCTCCATTGGTACTTTCGCACAGGGCCCTGCAAACATTTGGGGTTGATCTGCCTGAGGTGCCCTTGAATCAGATCCCTAAGTTGGCACAAACTGCATACCAGGTAACACAAAGGAAGGTCCAGGTTGGAAGAAAGCATCTGCTCCACGGTTCAGCTGACCCTGTAGTTAATGCTCCCCTCACTTTTACCTGTGGCCAGACTGGAGTACAAGAAATTTGGGATCCATCAGGGGGCAACTGTGAGGAAATCTTGACATTGAATCTTTTGTTCCATCTCCTTCACCCTCTACCATCAATAACCCAGTGTGACTGGGATGTAAGACCCAGCATTCTGAAATGGAATGCTCTGTACTATATGGGAAATGGGTTGTTGTACCTTACTGGTTGTTAAACGTGAAATAAAATACCTATTTAACAGCTTCTCTGCTCACAGGATTGACCAGGATATGTGGGAACTACATTTGCTATATATTTGTTCTGTGCAAAACTCTGTAGGTATTTTTGATCTGGTGTAACTCGAAGCTCAGCTTCCCAAATCTGAACTAGAATTCCTTACCTACCTTTCCTACTCCCGGCTTTCATTAAGAAGGATGGCAAGGTGGCAGTGGCTAAGCTGCATTGGAGAGCAGTATGAGCCACCAGGTAAAGCTCCAGGTTTTTGTGTTTTGTTTTTTTAAAGAAAACCCAATTGGAAAATTTTAACAATAAAGGAATGAAAATACAGATGAGGGATACTCTCAGGGTTTTGATTTAAGTATCTAGCCATGCCCAGTTCTTTATCTGCCTCATGAACTAAGGATTAGATTCTAATTAATTTTATTTCTAAGAAACATCAAATGTTCATCTGTCATAAATATTCTGTCAGTTCTGACCATTTCCATATGGAATGATTTTATACTTTTTGTTTTTGCTTTCTTACACTAAAAGTAGCTTTCTCCTCTAGTTACCTAAAACAGATGCCAACAAATTCCCGGAATAAACTGCACATAAACACAATATGATGTCAGAAAGAATGAAGAATGCCAACTATCATGTTTTGAATTTTCACCAGTAATCTTGGGAACATAGTGAACTTTTACACTTCTCAACACCTGGTGAGGTGTGACTCATATATTACCATCTTCATTTCGCATCTGAAAAATCAGATAACTAAGAAACAGACATATCGCTTGTAGAAATCATATTATGGCATTGAACTAGAAATAAGAAAATAACATCTGTGAAAAACTCATAATTATATTGAACAAAGTGTAGTTACTTGAGATCTGCTGTGACAGAAAAGTCCTGTCCCTAATCCATTTTTAGAGTAGGTCCTGGAACAAGTCTAGCAAAAAGGGCTGAATGATGTTAAGGGGTGTTGTTTACAGTAACATAACTGTGCATTTATTAAGTGCTGGAATCCCCCTCTGCCTTCTCTCATCACCCGAAAGCTGTTGTTCATTGAAGGAGGAATTAAAATGGAGTAGTAACATTTAAAATTATGTGATGTTTTTATTAACCTAAAATGATAGCTGGTGAAATGGGCCATTATTCTGCAAAATCTAATTATGTTAACACTAATGACGTAGTTTGCCTGGCTGAAGCAAACTACAGAGGATTGGAAGTAAAAATAATCCTCATTTTCTTAACTTAGTCCCACTTTTTTCCACAGGCATTTCTGTTAACTATTATTAAATTAGTGAACTAGGAATTCTATGGGGAAAAATGACTAAAAAGAGAAAAAATAATTACTACCCCTCCCACATCTGTCTGAAGAGATTCTGAAATTTCTGCCTGGCAAGACTGTCAAGTTCCATTGAAGATATAATGTACCACAGCTGTATCTTCCAGCCGCCGCCCTGAGAGTGCCACATTACAGCTTTGCTCTTACTAGGGGCAGTCATTCTAATCTAATAAAAGACAGAAAATGGCAGAAAATCACACACCTGAAGTCCTGTTAAGACTAGGTGATTCTTTTTGCCCCAGGCAGGCAAGAATATAATGTCATTTTTGTTCGTTTGTATTTGCACTCTGAAGGAGGGCTGCTCCTGTTGGGGAATGGTTTTCCCTCTGCCAGTGTGAAACACTGCAGGAAAACATTCTCCAAGGAAATCGTATTTTG